GCTTCTCAAAAGTCCCCTCCCCCTCTTTTCTTTTGAACGGTGATACTTAGACTGATGAAATTTGGAGGGTGAAAATGAACTATTGTAAGCTTCTCTACTATTGGTAATAGGTGACGTAATAGGCATCGGTGACGTCACCAGATAACTGAAACCAATAATATTAAATGGGACCTTATGGCAAGTGACACCTCGTTTGAAAGGTATTTAGAATACCTATTCAGTAATACTATTTTTTTTAATTTACGATGGTTTTGATGGTTAAAATAAAAAAACAGTAAAATTTGAGTCTCGCTTTTAATTATTACATATTTAAGAACAAGTTCTTATAATAATTGTTCAAAATGTGCTCCATCTACTTCCTGACAGTAAAACATCCTATTATTAAACTCTTGTCGGACTCGATTAAATGTGTCAGGGGAAATTACCCTACATTCTTCAACAATTCGTTGTTTTAAAACGTCAATACTCTCAGGAGCTGTAGCGTAAACTTTAGATTTAAAATATTTCAACAGAAAAAATCTAGAGGTGTTAGGTCCGGTGACCGAGCTGGCCATTCTATTGGACCGCGTCGTCCAATCCATCTACCAGCTGCTTTTTTGACAATCAACCATAGGCGGACTTTTGAATCTTTATTAATTAAAAGCGAAACTCAAATTTTAGTGTTTATTTATTTTAACCATCAAAAATATCGTAAATCCAAAAAAAATAGTATGATTGAATAGGTATTCTAAATACCTTTCAAACGAGGTGTCACTTGTCATAAAGTCCCATTTAATATTATTGGTTTCAGTTGTCTGGTGACGTCACCGATGCCTATTACGTCACCTATTATCAATAGTAGAGAACCTTACAACAGTTCATTTTCAACCTCCAAATTTCATCAGTCTAAGTATTACCGTTCAAAAAAAAGAGGGGGAGGGGACTTTTGAGAAGCACTGTATAGAAAAAACAACAGAAAAAGATGTAAAAATACTATGGGCCTGTAGACGGATGGTAGGGAACATATGGGGGCTTAAACCAAGTATGATGCACTGCTTTACAGTTTAGACTACGGTTGTAGTACCTTTTATAATTTACTTATCAGTCATATGGTGGCACAAGACTAAAAGCATAACAGCTAACAGAAAATTAGACAAGGTACAAAAACTAGCCTGTCTAATAATAACAGGGGCATTTAGAACTACGCCCACAGCAGCAATGGAGCTACTGATATGTCTTCCTCCATTACACTTTGTGGTGGAGAAGGAGGCTATGGCGGCGGTATACAGGCTGTTTACTAATGAATTTGGATGGAAACTTTCGAGAAAAGGACACCACATAATGATATTAGAGAAATTAAAATCCGGTATTAAGAATGCCATCGGATAGAACGCCCATTATTCACGACTTCAGGAAAACTTTCGATATTCAAATACCAGAAAGGGCCAAAAGCCGGGAAAATAGGAAACAAAATTTGGTATACAGACGGTTCGAAAATTAAAAACAGCACAGGAGCTGGGATCTACCATGTGAACTCAAAGAGGTACATTAGTCTGAAAAAATGCCTGCGCCAAAGTCATGCTAAATGACTCTTTTGGAGATAATAGGGTCTTTATTATGACAGACAGTCAGGAAGCCCTTAAAGCACTGAAAAGGGTAGAAGTACAATCTAAATTAATACTTGATTGCCAACAGTCCCTCTAGGCCCTGGCAGAACATAACAAGGTCGCCCGTGAATGGGTGCAGGGACATGAGGGAGTGTGTGAAAACGAGAAAACAGACCTCCTAGGAAGAAATGGAGCGAAAAACTCTAATGGGACCAGAACCCACATGTGGTATTTCATACCAACATATTAAATGGGTGTTAAAGGAACAAATAAATAGAGCACACCATAAGCTCTGGTTGGAACTTCCTGGACTTAAACAGTCCAAAAGATTTATAGAGAGGTCATCCACGAGTAGACAAAATCAACTGCTAAACCTTAGTAGAAGCGAACTCAAGGCCGTAATAGGACTTCTTACGGCCTTAGAAGACACCTAAATCTTTTAGTGATATCTGATGTTTCTCTATATAGAATATGTGAAGAAGAGGACAAAACTCCTATTCACATACTATGCCACTGTCGGAACCCTAAATGGGAACGGGAATGGTACTTCGGGGTACAATATCCGGAACCTGAAGAAATCGCGAAAGACACATTCTTGAATTCATCAAAAAAATTAATCTGATGTGGTAGAAACTGTGAGGGGTATAATAAGCCTAGAGCTTCAGTACGAGTGGGCTTTGAACCACATTTTAATTCAGATAGATAGATAAATAGATAGATAGATAGATAGATAGATAGATAGATAGATAGATAGATAGATAGATAGATAGATAGATAGATAGATAGATAGATAGATAGATAGATAGATAGATAGATAGATAGATAGATAGATAGATAGATAGATAGATAGATAGATAGATAGATAGATAGATAGATAGATAGATAGATAGATAGATAGATAGATAGATAGATAGATAGATAGATAGATAGATAGATAGATAGATAGATAGATAGATAGATAGATAGATAGATAGATAGATAGATAGATAGATAGATAGATAGATAGATAGATAGATAGATAGATAGATAGATAGATAGATAGATAGATAGATAGATAGATAGATAGATAGATAGATAGATAGATAGATAGATAGATAGATAGATAGATAGATAGATAGATAGATAGATAGATAGATAGATAGATAGATAGATAGATAGATAGATAGATAGATAGATAGATAGATAGATAGATAGATAGATAGATAGATAGATAGATAGATAGATAGATAGATAGATAGATAGATAGATAGATAGATAGATAGATAGATAGATAGATAGATAGATAGATAGATAGATAGATAGATAGATAGATAGATAGATAGATAGATAGATAGATAGATAGATAGATAGATAGATAGATAGATAGATAGATAGATAGATAGATAGATAGATAGATAGATAGATAGATAGATAGATAGATAGATAGATAGATAGATAGATAGATAGATAGATAGATAGATAGATAGATAGATAGATAGATAGATAGATAGATAGATAGATAGATAGATAGATAGATAGATAGATAGATAGATAGATAGATAGATAGATAGATAGATAGATAGATAGATAGATAGATAGATAGATAGATAGATAGATAGATAGATAGATAGATAGATAGATAGATAGATAGATAGATAGATAGATAGATAGATAGATAGATAGATAGATAGATAGATAGATAGATAGATAGATAGATAGATAGATAGATAGATAGATAGATAGATAGATAGATAGATAGATAGATAGATAGATAGATAGATAGATAGATAGATAGATAGATAGATAGATAGATAGATAGATAGATAGATAGATAGATAGATAGATAGATAGATAGATAGATAGATAGATAGATAGATAGATAGATAGATAGATAGATAGATAGATAGATAGATAGATAGATAGATAGATAGATAGATAGATAGATAGATAGATAGATAGATAGATAGATAGATAGATAGATAGATAGATAGATAGATAGATAGATAGATAGATAGATAGATAGATAGATAGATAGATAGATAGATAGATAGATAGATAGATAGATAGATAGATAGATAGATAGATAGATAGATAGATAGATAGATAGATAGATAGATAGATAGATAGATAGATAGATAGATAGATAGATAGATAGATAGATAGATAGATAGATAGATAGATAGATAGATAGATAGATAGATAGATAGATAGATAGATAGATAGATAGATAGATAGATAGATAGATAGATAGATAGATAGATAGATAGATAGATAGATAGATAGATAGATAGATAGATAGATAGATAGATAGATAGATAGATAGATAGATAGATAGATAGATAGATAGATAGATAGATAGATAGATAGATAGATAGATAGATAGATAGATAGATAGATAGATAGATAGATAGATAGATAGATAGATAGATAGATAGATAGATAGATAGATAGATAGATAGATAGATAGATAGATAGATAGATAGATAGATAGATAGATAGATAGATAGATAGATAGATAGATAGATAGATAGATAGATAGATGGATGGATGGATGGATGGATGGATGGATGGATGGATGGATGGATGGATAGATAGATAGATAGATAGATAGATAGATAGATAGATAGATAGATAGATAGATAGATAGATAGATAGATAGATAGATAGATAGATAGATAGATAGATAGATAGATAGATAGATAGATAGATAGATAGATAGATAGATAGATAGATAGATAGATAGATAGATAGATAGATCTCCTTATGAATGATGTGTCTGATTTTTTAGTGTTATTAAAAGTTTCAATTTACTTATGATGGCCCTAATCTATAAAATTAAGATATTTGGTTTAAGTCATATTGCCAGCCTAACTTTTCATTGTGTTTTAAACTAAAATTATCTACCTTTAAAATTTAAAGATGGCTCTCGAGCCGAAACTGGTTACATGTGTTAACTTATAACTGTTCATAAAACACACTTTTTGTGAGGTACTGATTATAAGAATTTTATTTTCGTCATATTTGAGTAGTTGAATAACCTCTACGATTTACTTTATACATATTTAGATAACCCTGTACAGCCAAAACTTATTTTATTTTTTTAATGAAGCTATTTCACAAACATCCTGAAACTATCTGACCTTTTGATTGTAACAAAGGCAAGGTCATAATACAAACACCTATATTGAACTAAACATATTTTAATAACTTTTTTGTGTGTAAATATATTTTCGGAATTTTGGGAAGCACAGTGATTAATCTTCGTAATAAATTAGTTGCACATGTATTACATTAAAAAAATAGTGATAATAAAAACATCATTAATTTGACAATACGCAATACACATGTTTTTTATTATCCTCAATTATCATCCGTGGACATTCAAACGTGGAAGGTGGCGTATGTTCCTCGTCCTAAACAATGTTAATTTTTCAGGTTTTGCTGCTAGTGAATTATGTCAGAGGATCCAGCATGCTGAACCAAAAGTTATTATAGCAGCAAGCTGTGGCATAGAACCAAGTAGAGTTGTAAAGTAAGTATCATCACTCATAAAATTGTAGCCTTAAGATAGAAAATTTCGAGAACAAGGTAGGTTTTTATCAGCTTCTGATCATTATTCTAATCCGCAAGAAATCCCAATTTTAACCTTTTTAGTGTTTACCTACTCTTACTCTCAATTATATAATTTTTCTTATTTATGTTAATATTTAAAATTATATTCGAGAAACCCTGCATTATAGAAACTCTATATAGAATATAGAATGAGTTCCTATTATGTTGACTGCATTCATGTAAAAATAGGTTTTTATTGTACTTTATGCATTATGCTAAGAGTGAGGTTCGTAGCCTTCACCTAACTGAGGTCCAAAGATCAAAAAAAGGTTAGGAACACCGGTTCGAATGACGCCACAACGTTAGATAATGGGTCAATCGCTTTTATATTAATCTCAAAAAAATTGAATGATAAAGATACCGAATAAATATCAGAATAGGGTCATGTGTCCAACAATGAACCGCTCAAAATTTAAAATCGCATAGACCAGTCAAATTTTAAACAAGAAATCGGAAACTGTACCATTATCAGCCACACATATTTGTAATCTATTACACATAATTTGGTTTTGAGTGAAGATAAAGGTTTTTAGTTTTACATTTAAAAAAAGGGTATTTGGTTTATTGTGTCCAACGGGTGGTACACAATGAACTAGTTCTGTGTACACAGTGAACCGACAGACTTTATTTAATACACGTATCTACTTTTACTTGGTTTAAAGAAACTACAGTATAATTTCAAATTTTTATTGTTTGAAAGCAAAAACCATACAAAGAATAGGTACAACGAATAATAAATATTATTAAAGATGTACTTCTTATCTCATATTTAACAAATAAAAGGACACTGTAAAAGCAAAATATCCTTGTCGTTTTGTGCTTCCACATAGTTTTGGTTTTGGTAAACTATACTTCACATCTTTCTTGTTGACAAAAGCTGTATTAGGAACATTGGGTATAACAAACTGCTCACTGTCTTTAGATATAAGCCTTAAAAATTGTAGTGTAGTATGTGGGTACGGAGCAGTAGCCACAACGAAATGAACTGTCACAGTGGGTGAAGTGAGGTTGGGATAGATTCAAGAAAACGGGGGAAATTAATTCGGGTCTTGTAATAATTTGTAATGTGTAAATGTTCAGGGTTAAATAAATGTTGAAGTATGCACAGTAGTTTAAATATACAATAGTGGCGACGAGGATAAAAAGCCCTTGCTTAATCAGTGGCAAGAAAGTGATAATTGTATGGTGAAGTCAGTAATAATAAAAAAAAGAAAGTTATCCTCCACATGGTCAATCGCACTCAACTCGCAATAGAAAAAAAAAACAAAATATCGTTAATAGGTTCAATTGAACACTTCGATGTCGTGAACGGAGATTTTGAATCCTATATGGAAAGAATGGAGCAACTATTCATTGTCAACCAGGTAGAAGCAGCCGCAAAAGGTCCAATGGGTCCATCGACCTACCAGTTACTAAAAACTTTATTGCGTTCGCAAAAACCGGTCAATAAAACGTATAGAGATATGGTGGAAGTATTAACTAAGCATTTTAGTAAAGTCAGTCATTATAGAAAAATGTAAGTTTCATAAAAGAATACAGAGGGAGGAAGAGTGAGTCACAGAATTTAAAGTAGCCCTAAAGAGTATTGCAGCATCCTGCGAATTTGGTGTGTTTCTCAATGATGCCCTAAGAGATCAACTAGTTTGTGGTCTGCTGGCAGAGTCGACAGTGAGATCATTATTGTCAGAAAGTGATCTAACGTTTGAAAAGGCTTGTCAAGTAGCCTTAAGCAAAGAATTGTCCTCTAGTGAATCAAAAGTAGTCCTACCACATGGGTCAGCATACAAATTACAATCAAACCATAATTCCAGAACAACGGGGGCAACCAGGAAGTCAAAGTCTGTATCGTCAAGCGCAAGAGGAAGTCAAGTCAAGATGTTTTCGATGTAAACGTTTTCACAATCCCGAGACATGCCCTGCTAAAGAATGGGAATGTTTTACTTGTAAAAGAAGGTACCACACGTCCAGAGTCTGCCGTAGTGGTCGACTCAAGAAGGTTGAAGCAGAAGAAGAGTCAGAGATAGAAGAAGAAGAAGAAAAAGAGGAAGTAGAAGTCTATGAGCTAAATAGGCTGAGCATCAAGCAGTTGTCTTGTAGTCAAGTCATCCCTGTGATGGTCGAAAAAAAAAAAGTATGCATGGAAGTCGACACAGGAGCAAGTGTAATGTCAGAAGGTATGTTTGAAAAAATATGTCCAAAAATAAAGTGTCAATCTTGTAACTTATCCATAAATTCTGTATCAGGTTATAAATTTATAGTAAATGTAAATTGATAGTAAAGGGGAAAATATTTGTAAATGTCAGGTTAAGTTCACAAAATTTTGAGTTACCATTAGTTATAATAAGTTAAAATACTGTGGGTAAACCATTGTTAGGTCGCAACTGGCTTGATAAAATCATACCTAGCTGGAGGTCAACTTTCACAATTTCTAACCGTTGGGAAAATAATAATATGGTAGTCGGCTCTATAGAGGAGCAGAAATCAATAGAAGTTATAAGTGTCATTGAAAAATTTAAGTCCACAGCCGTATGCATAGTCGATCGCCAGCGACTCGCCAGAGATTCGTTTCGGCGTATCGCCAGCGATTCGCTGGCGATCCGCCGGCGAAAGCCCAAAAAGCTGGCGACTCGCCGGAGATTGTCACCGGAATGTCATTTCACGCAAGTTTTCAGGTTCATTTATAGGGAAAAATTTGATATTCGTTCATTATTTTTTGAGTTTTAAGAAATGAATCATGAATAAAATGCGAGAGATACCGGTGATAATCCCTATAAAAGAAAATAAAAACTTGCGTGAAATGACATTCCGGTGACAATCTCCGGCAAGTCGCCAGCTTTTTGGGCTTTCGCCGGCGGATCGCCAGCGAATCGCTGGCGATACGCCGAAATGAATCTGGCGAGTCGCTGGCGATCGACTATGCATACGGCTGTGGTATTTTTAATTATGAAACTAAAAGTCATATTGAAGGTTTTGAAGCTAATCTAGTAGTCAATGATAATATGTCAAAAGTCTTTCATAAACCATGTACCATTTTCACTTATGGAAATGGTGAATGAACAACTGAAAGAGATGGTTCATGAAAATAAATTAAAACCTGTAAAACAGTCTGATATTGCTAGTCCAATTGTAGTAGTGCCAAAAGAGAATGGCACTTTAAGAATATGTGTGGATTTTAAAAAACTCTGAACCTCATTTTAAAAACTGATCATTACCCATTGCTTACGTTAGAAGATATGATTTTCAGTGTGTCAAGGGGGGTTTTATTTACAGTTTTAGATTTAAAAAATGCGTATTTATAATTACCAGTCAGTAAACAACGTCAGGAATATTTAACAATTAATACTCCCTTGGGGTTATTCCAATATTCCAGATTACCCTATAGAGTCTCTAGTAGTCCTGCCATTTTTCAGTCATCGTCTATTTAGACGATGTGATTATTTCTGGTTAAACCGAAGTAGAGTGTAAACACAACGTTAGTCTAGTGTTAGAATGATTTAATAACCACAACATTGAAATAAATTTAGATAAATTAATATTTTTTGAAAGAGAAATTGAGTTCTTGGGAGATTCCTTCAGTAAAAAAGGTATTAAACCACTACCGGTAAAAGTACGTAAATTGAAGAAGCTCCTGTTCAAAAAATGTAACTCAGTTAAAGTCTTACCTGGGGTTACTTAATTTTTACGCAAAGTTTATACCAAGGTTAACAGAAGTGTGTCATTCGTTGAATAAGTTTTTAAAGAAAAATGTATCATTTGTTCGGTCACATTAGCAACAGGAGGCATTTGATAAAACCAAACTTCTTTTATTAAATGTTTCAGGTTGGCACATTATGATCCAACTAAAGTGCTTATTGTTAAAATATTATGCAGTATTCCCCATCTTGTTCTACCTTTGTTATTTTTCCTACAAAATATACCGTTGATTTTGGAGGAAATAATCTTCTACATTAGGATTAGGACTTTGTGTACTTAACAAATTTGGATTTAAAATAGGAAGATCTTGTTCAGTCTCTCCACTTCACTGTCGCTCTGAATGTTCTTTATCGACATTAAAAAATTGCACTCTCTTCTTAGTTTGTTTATTTTTACTTAATGTTTTCTTTCTTTTAGCTTCCAGTCTTTCTTGTTTAATAAGGTTTTTTTCGAGTGTATCAGTGGCAATAATACTTTTTTTATTTTTTCTGTTCTGTCTATTATTTTGACGTGGTTGGGCTTTCGGTGGAGGCATAAATTGTTGTGGTGGTCTAAATGATGGTCCTGCTAGACTTTCTATATGTTCAGTGTTTTCTGGTTGACTTTTGTTAGCTGCAAAACTATCATTTTTATTTGGAATTATGATTTATTCGTTATTAGCATCTGATTGAAGGTCTCTTGTAATATTAGAACTTTCAGTTGGGCATAGTCTGCTGGTTACCTCACTTGGCAAAAAATTGTCGTCTGTAAAGATATCCCGGTTAAAGGGATATATGCATATCCCGGTCAAAGGGATATATGCCGTATTTTTTAAAAGCATGTGTTATATTTGTAGGAGACGTGGAACAGCTATGTGCTATTCCAATGCATTCAAATAGGTCGTAAATAGTTATCGGCCTACCTGGATTTCTTAAAAGCCACGACTCTATGGCACTATTATAATAGGCCTTAAATGGCGCATATATACCAACGTCAAGTGGATGCAACTTAGCCATTGTGTGTGGTTGCAAAGTGACAATATTAACCCCAGCAGAGTTTGCCAAATCTAAGGCTTCGATTGATCGAATAATAAAATTGATGGATTCTCAGGATAGCTTCTGCTAGGTTTAATGAAATGGCTCATTACGTCAACAGTTCAGAATTCATCTATCCTGTTGGAGTAGCAAGGCCTAGGACCCAGCGGGGGCGCCTTTTAACATGAAATATTTGTAATTTTTTCGAGGAAAA